AAGCCAGGAGGCAGGAAATTCTTTTTTTTTTTTTTCTTTTAAATTCTTTTATTTTTGGTGATCTTTACATAGTTGATTAGTGCATAAAGGGTCAAGGAAAGTGGGTAAGACCATTGTTTCCACATTGATATTACCTTTTTTTCTGTGTTGGGTAAGGGAAGAGATAAAGGGAATAGCCCCACCCAGCCTCCCACCCATCCCAGGTCCCCGATGTGGGGCATGCTCTGAGAGTCTTGCTCATGCAGTTTTGATAGTTCAACAGTTCTGAATCGCTGTCAGTCTTGCCACTCCAAACACAATGAAACAAAATCTCTTCAGAATCCACTGGCTGACATAGTATCTTCAAGGTTGGGGTTCTGAGATCAGCAGTTCAGTTGGAGGGATCCTCAGAGAAACTTCGTCCGAGGTGATCTCAGACCTGATTACCATGTGTCCTTGCCAGTACAGGGTCCAGCACAGTCCATCGCCCCAATCAGCTTCTGAATATGCTGGTGGTTGCAATTGCTGGGTCAGCTCAGGAGCCAGGAACTTCTTCCTGGTCTCCCACATAGGTGCAGGATCCAAAGGACTTGCACCATCCTACACTGCTTTTTCAGGCCACAAGCTGGGAGCTAGATGGGAAGTAGAGCAACCAGGACATGAACTGGCACCCATATGGGATCCTGGTACTTGCAAGGGGTGAGGATTAACCAATAGCACCATTGTGCTGGGCCTGAAAATGTTTTAAAATCTTACAAAATCAGAGGAAAAACATGAGCATAGTTACCTTAGATTGCATTAGTCTTTACACAGCACAGTTATAAAATGTAATATCTATTTATCTATTTATTTTAGCATAAGAGAGCAGCCCTGTTATACTTTATGACACCAAATATAAGGGGGTCTTCCAAACTTTCATAGAAAATGCTGTATGAAACAACTGCTTGTGGATTTGTAAAATGTTTTGTGCCAAAATAAACCTTTTTTAAAAATTCCCTTTTTTACAGACTAAAAAAAAAAAAATACCCATGCATACCAGTTCTCCAATTTGCTGGCATGAACGGGGTATCCTGAAATTCAATTAAACTCTGATAGTAACTCCAAGAGTTATTGTGGAGCCCACATGTGAAAGGGCTCACACCCCACTAAATTGGCCCCTTCCGACACTGATGCAACTCCCTGAGGTTACCAGTTTTTCAACCAAGTGCTCTTACCATTGCCTCCTTGGGTTTGATAATTCACTAGAATGACTCACAGAACTCAGACAACCACTTAGGACCATCAGGACACTGACACGTGCTGGGTAAGCGTACTACTCAGGGATGGCTAAAAGGAAGAGGATACATAGGAAATAGAGAGAGTACCGGCAGAACTTCCTCCAGTTCCTCTTCTGTCCCAGGTCTTGCACATATTCTTCAATTCAAAGGCATTCCCTGAGTTTTAAAACGCCAGTCTCTTGGGACTACCACTGCGGTAGATCAGGTAACGCCAATTTTGAGTGGGGTATTCCTTAAGGATTGTGTTCTGGCTGCTCTACTTTTAATCAATTCAAGCAGTCAAGGATGGTCTGTGTGCCTGAGCCCCAGCCTTCTGTGTGGGAAACTGCATAGAGTTCCTGGCTCTTGGCTTTATCCTGGCCCAGCTTCACCTTTATGGCCATCTGGAGAGTGAAACCAGGATGGAAGATCTTTCTCTCTCTTTCTGTCTTTCTCTTTCTCTCTGCAACTCTTTTAAAAAATTAACAAGTCTTAAAAAGAATCCAATCAAGTGTCCAGCTCCATTCTCTCCTACCTTGTATTTGTGGTGATCTGCCAGCTTCCTGGTATACACACACACACATACACACACCCCGTCTTGAGTCACCTCATCAACATAACCTCTGATGTGACTGACTACAGTTCATTGCAAATAACAGAAGACAATCAGGAGAAAATTTCCTATCAGGAAATTCCAAGGGCTTTGGGTACTCTGGACCAGGAACTAGGGATGAAGACCAGATGTGGGGCCCAGCATGATAGCACAATGGTTAAGGTCGGCGCCTCAAGCCCGCCAGGATCCCATATGGGTGCCAGTTTTAATCCTGGCAGCTCCACTTCCCATCTAGCTCCCTGCTTGTGACCTGGGAAGGCAGTAGGGAGGGCCCAAACCCTTGGAACGCTGCATCCGTGTGGGTGACCTGGAAAGAAGTTCCTGGCTCCTGGCTCCAGATCGGCACAGCACTGGCAGTTGCGGCCACTTGGGGAGTGAATCATCAGATGGAAGATCTTCCTCTCTGTCTCTCCTTCTCTCTGTATATCTGACTTTCCAATAAAATAAATACATCTAAGATAAAAAAGACCAGGTGTGTTTTTATTATATCACAAACCCCAAGAAGGCCAGTGTGCCTAGAATCTCATAGGGCATCTTGTGACTTTGTCATTCGGGTGGACCTTTCCAGAAGAGAGTCTTAGAGAAGCTTTAAGGATTCAGCAGAATGGACTGGGTTGGCATATCTATCAGAGGCAGAGTCAGCTCGACTCAGGGATCATATGTGGAAATTGAAACAGGAAGACAGGATGTTTTCGGCACTTTTGACTTAAGACAACTGGAGGGACGATGGTGCCAATCACTGAGAACCTTGGGGAGAGGAGTACCACTGGGAGTCTGGGACGACAGGGAGCACACAAGTGGTAAGGAGCCACTGGGCTGTGTCAACCTGGGTTTTAGATGAAAAGCCTAGACTAGAGGGAAATTTGAATATCATTAGCTTACAGACTTTAAAATATATACTTATTTATTTTGAAAGAGAGAAAATCTTCTATCTGCTGGTTCATTCTCCAGAACCAGGAGCTTCTTCCAGGATGCCTATGTGGGTGCAGGGGCCCAGGTAGTTGAGCCATCCTCCACTGCTTTCCCAGGCACACTAGCAGGAAGCTGGATTGGAAATGGAACAGCCAGGATTCCAACTGGCACCCACACAGCTTTAACTGCTATGCCCCATTGCCAGTTCTGCCTGTGACTTAAATGAAGGATTTGGATCAGATCACCCAGTGATGGTACAATACACAGATGAGCAGGATGAGAGCTGGAACAAGCTCTGAACGGTGAACTGCTGCTTGGGACACACGCATCCTTTATGCAAGTACTGGTTTGTATCTTTCTGAACAGTACATCTGGGAAAGGGCAGCTGACAACTCAAGCACTCTAGTCTCTGGTACCCAGGTAAGAGACCCGGATGGAGTTCTTTGCTCTGGGCCTTGTTGTTACAGTCATTTGGAGAGAACTAGCAGATGGAAAAATCTATGTCACCCTGTTTTTCAAATAGAGAAACCTTACAAAGAAGAAGAAGAAAGGATGGAGGCTTTGAGCCCTGAAACATTTTTAAATATTTAGGAAAAGAGGACAAAGAATTAAAGGATATTGAGGAGGAAATGCAGTGAAGGAACTGGCTTCAACCACACAGTGACCAAGAAATATCATGTATATGAGCCCAGAGAGGCAGTCATGGAGTTTATGCCAGAGATCTTCCCCTTTTTCCCCTGTAAAGATTTATTTATTTCAAAGGCAGAATTACACACACGGGGAGAGGGAGAGACAGAGGTTTTCTATCTGCTGGTCTACTCCCCAAATGGCCACAACAGCTGGGACTGGGCCAGGTTGAAGCCAGGAGCCTGAAACTCCATCCAGGTTTCTCATGTAGGTGGCAGAGAGCCAAGCATGTGGGCCATTTTCTGCTGCCTTCCCAGGGGGGCAGGAACAGGGAGCTGGATTGGAAGTGCAGCTGAAACCAGCACCCTCATGGGATGCTGGCATTGCAAACAGCTTAACGTACTGCATCTCCATGTTGGCCCACACCTGAGATCTTTTTTTTTTTTTCTCTCTCCTATGTGATAGGAGGCTAACTTGCATAGTAAAAAGTAGAGGTTGGGGAAGAAGTGTGAAATAATCTTTGTCTAATTTAATGTTAGCTTAGTGGAGAAGGTTATCCTAGGATTAAGTTCATCTCCTCCCAAATCCTTTTTCTTTCTCCTGGGACCTTTCTGGTTCTCACCACCATCTGCAATTATATCTTCATTTGTTCCCTTGTCTGTCCCACCAGAGTGCTGCAGGAGGGCAGACCTTGTCTAATCTCAGGTATGTATAGTCCTTAGGGCGGGGCCAGCAGTCACCACACACACACACACACACACACTTGTTGAAACAAAGTCTCTAAAGAATGAATGCCTTTGGATTTTAGTTTTAGATCAAGCCTGTTAAGACTTTTTTATTTTGGCAACTCAATCTTTCCTCTAAGAACATTTCTGTCTGAATTCAAGGTTCTGCACCTTCGGATTCAGTTTAACAGGATGGATAATGTCCAGGGAAAACTGAATTTACAGATTTTTTTTTTTTGAGTTGTTCTTATTCCCTAAGCAATAGAGTATAGCCGCCATTCACCCATCACTCACATTAGGTCTGTTAAGTATTCCAGAGATGAGTAAAACAGACAGAAGGCCGGGCAGAGGTTCCAAGCAACTACCATGCCGTTTCCTATGAGATACTTGGGCACTAACAGATTTGGAGCAGTGGGGGTGGGGGAGGACCCAGAAACCCCTCCCCCGCGGACACTCAGGGACCAGTGTAGGAGTGCCAAGAATTACTACGTGTTTCTTGCTTCCCTCACCTCGAGCTCTCACGGATCTGTGTCAGTAACACACGGTAGGTAGCAGGTGCCGAGCAGGCCGGGCCGAGGCGAGGAGCTTCTAGAAGGGGGGCGTTTTTGTCCCGGTGACCGTAGGCCTCCAAGCTTTCGCTCCTTGGGGCCGCGGAGGGGCGGGGCCCAGACCAGCGTCCTCCTAGCTCTGGCCTGCCCTGGAGGTGCTGGACAGGCCAGCGTGAGGGGCGGGGAAGCCGAGAGGGGGCCGCTAACTGTCAAACCTCGCCGCTTGGCGCCATTATTTAAATAGTACGTGCCTGTCTGGCCGCCGTGCGTGACAGGGGCGGGGCTCCGAGCGCCTGGAGCGGGGCGGAGGCCGGGGGCGGGCCGGGCAGCCGGAGGGGCGGGCCGGGGCGGGGCCAGGCCGGCCGGAGGGGAGGGCCCAGCGGCGGCCCCCGGCGAGGTTCACTGCGCTTGCGCTGATAGACGCAAGATGGCGGACAGTGCGGAACTAAAGGTAAAGCGCAGCTCGAATTCACTTCTAATATTCGGCCGCGGAGACGGAGCCGCTGGTGCCGGGGGGGATGGGTCCGACCCTGGGGGGCCGCCCGGGCCTGACTCTGCCTGGGTCTGGAGTTGTGGGGAGAAGAGGCGAGGCCGGCCCCAGCCGAGGGGGGCCAGCTGCGGCGGGCCGCGGGCCCCGGGTGCTTCGGGGGCGCTGACGGGTCGTCCCCGGCGTGTTATTGTTGTGGGCGCCTCTGGCGGGGGTGGCGGGGGAAGAGATCGGGGAGTCGGGAGGTGGGCGCTGCGGCTGTCCCCGGGGCTCGGCTTGCTCAGCTCGCAGGCAGCCTCCCCGCCCCCCCTCCGCCACCCCCCCACACGCACTCGGGGAGCTGGGGCCGGGGGGCAGGGTGTTCCAGTCCGGGGGGATTGGGAAAGCTCCCCGCCGCCGCTTCCTCTTCCTCCTTTGCAGTCCCGGGCTCCTGTCAGGCGCTTTCCCTCAGACCCCCGGGAACTTGGCTCCGGCCGCCCCGCCCCTCCGTGGATCGCGGGCGCCCCCGCCGCGCATTGGGGGTGCTCTCCGCCTGTCAGGAGGCGTCCCGGGTGCCCCGCTTGTAGGCAGCGCGGTCCGGGGTGGGGGGCCGTGGGGTGGGAAGGTGGGAGAGAAGCTCTGGTAAAGTTTAGCGAGCCCCGGCCCGCGTCCCGAGGGGGGCCGCGGTGTGTGTGTGTGTAGGGCGGGGGGAGACCTGCCTGGGCGGGACGTTACTCTGTTTCTCTCTGATTCGGGGCAGTGTGTGTGTGGGGGAGAGAACCCTCCTCTCCGTGTCCCCCGCGGAGAGCGTGTGTGTGTGTGTGTGTGTGTGTGTGCGCGCGCGGTGTGGACGCGGAGGCGGGTGGTGGGGTGCAGCTGCTTCTCCCTCCTTCCCTTCTCTGACTCTGGCTGGCGTGGAGGGTGAGGGAAGCCTTTGGGGAGCGGGGGTTCTCTGCGCACACCATGATGGCGATGCTATAGCTGATGGAGGTGACTTGGTTCGTGTTTGTATCCCCCCGTTGCCTTTTGTTTGTAGGGACATCTTGCTGGCCATGTTGATTTGAACGGCATTCTCTCCCCCCCTCCGCCCCCAATCCTCCTTCTCCAACCCCTAACAAATAGAACGCTCCCCCGTTCCTCTCAACTGTACCGATTACTCACGCCTCGCGAAATGGGATAAAAGGGTGCCCCCTTCTCCCCTTTTTTCACCAGTCGTTACCTGACGACGGCTCCTTTACCGAAGCCGATAAACCACGACACACACAAGCATTTGGGGGAGGCGGTGGAGCCCTTATGATTGGATTGTGACAAATGGGGCTCCGCTTGGGTAATTTTGGTTTAGGAGGAGGCAGTTCTTAACTAACGCGTATTATTTCGAGGCTCTGAACGCGGTATTCCCTCCCCGGTGGCTTCTCGTGTGTGAACCGAGCAGCTGGGTCCATCCCCACCCGGAGGGCTGACATCTCTGTCAGAGAGTAGCTGGGGCTGGGGGATGAGGCGGCTAGCTGCAGCCCCGGCTGTTGGGGGGGGCCTGCTTCTTTCTGCAATTCATTAAAAATGTTTCAGTTCTCTCACTCTCTCTCATAGTGAAGCAACTTTTAGAACACCCTAACACTAGGTTAATTTCTGAACAGTTTTTCCTATGGAAAAGCCTGGCGGGAGGAACATCTTTTTTTTCCCTTTAATTACTTTACATTGCTAACATTCCAAGATTTGTATGGTGAAGTGTTGGCTTGGAGGGTCATTGTTTTTAAATGGACTTCTAATTGCAAATTTATTTAAGAGCAGATTTAAAATGGATGGTATCATCTTTTTTCAGGTTCAAACTGTTGACAGACCAGGAAAGGCCTGAGAATTTGAGTATTTGGAGGCAATTTACTCTTGGAATAAAAAATTACGCAACTTTTAACAATTTTTTTTTTTGCCTTTTTTTCCCTTAAAACATAGTGACTACGTTGCTGTGATCTGACATTTATTTTGTTAGCATTTCTTTTGAATGACGACTAATCAGTTCTCTTGAAATGGGACCACGGAGAAAAGCTGAAAAGCTTTTGAGGGCTATATTGTCACTCTTGATGCTGTCCAAAGAAACCAGTGTGGAAGGCACATGCTGGGAGATTTCTTCCTTTGTTCTTTCTCATTTTAAGAAAGTGCCTTTGGGGATAGATCAGATCCCTGGTGTGAGTCTTGTTAGGTAAAGTTTCTCTTTACAAAAATGAGCCAGTATCAGATAAACACCAAACACTTGGGGGAAATGCCATTTTCCTAAAATTGCCTGTTCCTTTTCTGTTCTCTCCAAGACTGTCTTGAGTTTTTACGGTGGAGTTGCTTTCTACTTTTATGTTCCTATTGCATAATTTCCCAAAGTATAATAACTATTTTGACATGTGGGCATGTCGTTGTGTATGCCTGAGACTTTGAGGAGCTCTGATAAATTGCTTAGCTAGTGATAAACTATTAAAAAGTTGTGTTAATACTTCATTGTGGTTGAATTTGCTATTCTTTCTTTTGGCATAGAGGACGTGGTCTCCAGGACACCCAGGCCAGTTATTTGAGATGCCTATGCATAGTGTTCAGCAAGGTGTGGGATGTATTCCTTTTGGAGCTGATACTTTCTGAGGGCTTTTGTTGTAGTATTGGAGATAAGTAGCACATATTCTTGGTCAATTAGGAAAATTTAAAGAGACAGATTTTTTTGGGGGGGGGAGAATTTCAGTTGGAAATAACTACTTTCAACTCAGGTTTTCAGTAAATACAGTGTCTTTTTCATTCACAACCCACACTTCATTTGCTGTGGACTGTATTCATACTTGTTTTCCTCATGGACCTGTTTATGAGTCCTTTTAAATCTAGAGCAGATCTGCAAAGATCAGATGGGAAAAACAGATCTGAATCCCCTGTAGACAGAGTGCAAGGTGCAACACTTAGAGATATTGCCAATAAAAATCAGATTGTGAGTCATACATATCAAAATGAGTTCTCTGTGTACTTTTGTTTATAAAAGGTTTACTTTTTCATTAGAGGAATAGCCATAAATGACATTCGTAAGAACATGGAGAGTGAGTATTTTATTATCTTCAAGAACTTAAAAGCAGGAGGGTGTGATGACCAGATGATCTCGGTAGTTAATAATCTGACAGTTTCGTGTCGCTCCACTACTTTTTCCTTAACCAATGCTTTTTGCGTTAAAACTGAAACCAAGTTACATTCCCCTTGTAAGTCACAGGAGGAACAGTGGAAGAGAAGTTCATCATTTTAGTGGAATATTTACTAATGGAGTTCAATGAGAAGAGAAACCGCACTTTTAAAAGTTATCTATTAGCACATCAATGAATTCTGTTGCCATGTTCTGCCTCTTTATTTTCAAGAACCAACCACTTAATTTTCATCTTTGTGGTGCAGTTTGTCTGCTTTTATTTCACATGGAGGCAAGTAAATCTGACAATTTATTCAAGGATTTGGTTTGAATCTCTGTAACTGGTTTTTTGGTCAAGTGCCTCATTTGGATGGCTTTTGTTTCATGTCACCATTCTTACGAACAGTATTTAAAAACAATTTATAAAGCACTTTAGTTTTTAAGTATTTTGTATAATTGTTTGGAAATGCTGCCGGCTTTTTCCTTTGCTTCTTTCTCCTGGGTAATTGGGCTGTCTTTTCTTCATGGTCTCTTGTAATCCCTGTTGATTGCACTAGTGCTTAGTGGTGAGTCTATAGCCGATTAGCTTTGGGTTTCTCCTTGTGAACCCCATTGACATGCTGTTCCAGCATTTCTACTGAAGCTTTTGCTTTTTCAGTGTAGTTTGTGCCCCTTTCTGTTGGTGACACAGGATAAGAAAGTAACATGGTCTATGGTTATAGTGACTGCTGGGGATGAAGTATCTAAGTTACAGAAACACTGGAAGCTTGTGATGAAATTAGCTTCAAAAATCAGGTTCATTAATTTGTGGAAGTGTTTTTATTTTTCTGAAATATTATGCTGTGGCATTGAGCTTTTCTAAATGTTTGAATAATATGTAGTTCTTTGCACTTCAAAGGGTATTATTACATTATTTGCTTTTATCTTAGCAATTTTTTGTTTTTTTCTGTTTGTTTTGTTTTCAGTAGGAAAGGCAAGTGATAGCTCCCTTTTATAGATAGTGAGCTGAGAAAGGGTAGGTGACTGGCCTAAAGTCATACAAATAAAGGTGGCAGGGGCCTGGACCTAGATGTTGCAATTTCAAAACCACATGCTTTAGATCTCTGTAAAGGTGCCATGCTAACCTGCAGTCCTTTGAGGTACCAACTCAAAAATAATTCTAGTTCGATTGTTACTGATACTTTCCCTGTGACTCTGTGCTAGAATATTTTTGGATATTCCTTGGGGGGGTGGTTTGCAAACTTTCTTGCAAAAGTTGGGAATTTATTAGTAGAGAGCATATTACATTTTAAAAGATTTATGTATTATTCCAAAGATTGAAACAATTAGGGAGAGAAAGAGAATGCAATGTTCCATCTGTTGGTTCACTCCCCAAATGACCAACATTGGCCAGGGCTGGGTCAGGTTGAAGCCAGGAGCCTCATCTGAGTTTCCCTAGTGGGTTAGGTGGCGCAGGCCATTAGTAGGAAGCTGCATTGGAATCTGAGGAGACGCTACATGAACTTCACCCACTGCTCCACAGTGCAGGCCCCTGAATCATATTTTGGCTTGGGGAAATTTCAGAGACTGCCTAAGCCTTTGCAGAAAAACGAAGAGTACTTGTGATCTCAGCATTGAGGTAATGGTTAACATCCAGGTGTCTCTGCTGAGACTTATTTGAGCATATGCATATGTTAACAGTTGTCATAAAAAGAGATCACACTATTTTTTATTAGTACTATGCTGTTTTCCTGGCTGTCTTTATAGGTTAGTGATATAGATCTGTGTGATCATACTGTGATTTCTGTTTTGTTTTTCTTTCTCTACATGTTTTTCCTCTAGTTTCAGCTCTTAAGGACAGAGCTGGTAG